CCTGGCTGTTCTCTAACTCTGAACTTTCCCACCACACTCCATACTGGTAGGCCCCTTTGCTCATTAAACCTTTGGAGTTATGTTCATTTTATATTCTTTGGGATTAAAGAGTTGCAATTCTGGAAGCCCAAATTCTGGCAGAAACCCAAATAGTGTCCCAAAGGTGAAGACAAAGGGCTTTTATGAGAAAAGAAAAGAATTAATTACATGAAGAAATTCCTATCGTTGCTAATAAGCTGAGTTCCTCTTTAGCTATAAATGGTTGGATACTGATTCTATCATCAGATAGAGAATCCATAATCATCGATCCTTCCGGTCAGGATATCTGCTTTCCTGCTGGCTTTACAAACAGTTGTGATAAGACAATGTTTGTTTGGGTCATTTCAAAGGTCAGGTCTGATTCAAACAGTCCACAGATTCAAGGAGCAGGACATGCAAGACTGTTCCTCTGGAATGGCTGCTCTGGATTCACTTTGAAATGGCTCCACTTAGGTCAACTTTCACACTAGTCAGTGCCTCCTATGGGTATGTTTAAGATTATTTGCACTAACAAATGGGGCTGGCCTTAGAAGTACACACTGGAATGCCCAACCTCTGTGGGAAGCACGTGTGCGTGAGCACACACACACACACACACACACACACACACACCACACAGGATCATACAGCTTCCAGTTTAATCAATGGTTCACCTAGGGAGGAAAGAGAATAGAAGCAGGAAATCGAGTTAGTGGTCAATATGCAAAAGTTCAGATAGGCTGAGTGTTCATATCTGCAAGGACTTCCAAATCCTGTCTACATCAATAGTGGCCTAGGAATTGGGAGCTGGACTGAAGAAACAAGGAAGAGGATGGTATCAGTGGGTTCAGTCTGTGGTGAACAACCTAACCCCACACTGCCCCTGGGCCACAGGACCATCAGGCACAGACCCTCAGCACTCCATATGGGCGGCCTATCTCTCCCCTGCAGCCTCCATTGTGTCCGCCTCACACTTCACTGCCTGGCCTGCTCTGGATTATCCCAGCCCTTGATCCTTGGACTCATTGCCTATTTATAGACTGGCAGTTGCAGTCCCAACACTTAATTTTATCTCTGACCCTGAATCTGGCTTCTGTCCTCACCCACAATTTGCATTTTACTCCCTTTAAAGCTGCTGCTTCCCTCTCTCAGACCAATATCTCCCCTCACTCATACTGCTCAGTTGCAGGTCCTGACTTGGCTCCCATAGAAAGGAATACTTAAGAGAGACTGTTAACTAAGTATAAAATTGCTAAGTAGTGAAAAAGAGTGGTTTAATGTATCACCCAGGTAGTTACAGCAGGAAGTGAATAGAACTCGAAGGGTTGAATGAGCAAAGAGAAAGAGGTGGAAACGTAGAAGAGGAGCCCACGGGCTGAAATTCAGGCCTCTAAGGAGAGGTCTGCCTGGCTAGGTGTCTTTTTTAGGGGAGATGATGAGGTTGGTTCTGCTGTCTCTGAGATAATGCGAAATGATGCTAATTGTGCGAAATGTAAGTCAGATGCAGGTGCTGCTAAGGAACTGCTGGTGTCTGAGTGAAGAAGGATAACTGGGGTGGTGCTCACAAGGAAAGGAAGTAGACAGGAAGCCCCATAAGGGACAAACAGAAAGAAGTAAGTCCCTTCTTCCTCCTCCAGCCCCTCTATAGCCTGCTCTTGGCAGAGTCTGACTAGGAGTCAGCTGTGGAAGATGAACGTGGTTTGCCCCAGCATCACAGAGCAGATATAGAAGAGTAGGTTTTACACTGATGGACAATAATTCAATATCTGGGAGGAAGGCTCTTCCTGCCTTCCACAAATGTCTGAGTGCTTACTCTGTTCTAGGCATAGAAGACAGAACCACGAGTAAAACAATAATATTAATTTCTCCCCGAGTAGCTTACATTATATTATATACACCACCGTGGAGAGAGAGAGATGAACAAGAAGGAAATAAATAAAAATTAGCATGTTAGGTGGTAAGTGCTCTCAGGAAAGATAAAAGCAGTGAAGGTGACAGGAGTGCTGAGGGGTAGGAAGAGAACAGGTATCAATTTCAAACTGGCTGTTCAGGAAAGGGCTGAAAAAAATAAAAAAAGACAAGAGAGCAAAGACAGGGAGTGAGTCATGCAAATATTTGAGGAAAGAGCATTCTAGATAAGGGCAGGGCAGAGGGGAAGGCCGCTTAGGTAGGGCCTTATCTACCATTGTAAGGGCCGTTACCATGGTGACATGGGCAGTTATGGAGTACAGAAGTGACATGATCTGACTTATGGAAGGCAGCTATGCTTACCACTATTCCACCAACGCCTTCTGATCTGACTTATGTTTTGAAGGATCCTTCAGGGTGCTCTTTGGAGATTAGATTGGTCTCCTTGGATTCATTCACCTGGGTCCTGCCAACAGGACCTTAACTCTGGACCTAGCGTCTTGCTTGCCACATACATAATTTCTCTCTCTCACTGCAGTGGTAGGTAGGCCTCAGCCAGGCTGCAACTTCACTCCACAATCACAACCTATCTTCTTGTTTGTTTTAGTCCCCACTGAATTGAATAGTCTCTTCTCCAGTCGGTCTACTTCTCTGGTGGTACGTTTGGTCTTGTGAGAGTTGGGGGTGGCTTCATAGCTAACATTTGTTCATTCTTTCAACAAATATGTATTGAAAACCTATGATGTGTCAAGTGTTCATGCAGGTATTGTGATACGACAGTGAACTAGACACATTAGCTCCCTGTTCTAGAAGTGGCAATGGTGGGTGATACAGAAATTTAAAAACCCTATATGAAAGATAATTTCAGAGAGTGGTAAATGAGGTGAATGTGACTGTGACTGCTGGCTGCTTGAGACTGAGCAGTCAGGGTCCACCTTTATAATCAGGTGATATTTGGGTAGACACCGGAATGACAAGAATCAGTCATGTGAAAATCTGGGATCAGCAAACACTGATGGACATCTACACTTGGGACTCCTCTTCATGGGGTGACGTGCTCCGTCATTTTCTTAGAGCCAGAGGAAGGTGCTTGAAAATCCCTTATTATACGTCTCTCTCTCTCTGTAATACTTTACTGGGGACCACAGAATAATTGATATTTTAATGTATTCTGATAAGGTATCACATACAGATACTTTTCCTTTTTGAATATTTTACCAAGTGCCATGCACAGGGACAAAAAAGCATTATGTAGAATCTCTTAGCTCTCAGGCTCATATCATGCTCTGGGGCAGCTCCTATTAGGCCTGAAGGTAGCAGAGCCTTTAAAAAAGTTATTTCAAAGTAACTATAGATTCATAGAAAGTTGCAAAAAAATTTTCAGGGAGGTCCCATGTACCTTTAACCCAGTTTCCCCCAATGATAACACCTGCATAACTATAGTGCAATATGAAAACCAGGAAATAAAGACATGGGTATCATCCATGGAGCTTATTCAGATTTCACCAATTTTATATGCACTCATTTGTGTGTGTGTGTGTGTGTGTGTGTGTGTGTGTATAGTGTTATGCAATTTTATGTAACCATTACCACAATCAAGATACAGAAATGTTTCATATACACAAGGCTCCTCCCTGCTATCCATTTGTAGCTACACCCAACTCATTTGTAGCTACATCCCTCCTCCCGATACCTAACCATTAACAACTGCTAACCTTTTTTTATGCCTCTACATTTGTTACTTTAAGAGTGTTTTATAAATAGAATTATACAGTTTTTACTCAGCATAATGTTCCTCATTCAACCTAAATTGTTGCATGTAGTGATAGTTCATTTCTTTTTATTGTTGAGTAGTATTCCATGGTATGGATGTACTACATACAGGTTAACTATTCATCTGTTCAAAAACATTTGGGTTGTTTCCAGTGTTTGGCTATTATGAATAAAGCCACTATAAACATTCATATACAAGTTTTGTGAATATACAGGTTTTCATTTCTAAGGGATTATGTCCAGGAATACAATTACTGGTTTGTATGGTAGACACAAGCTTATTAAATTATTTTAAAAAAGAAACTGGCAAACTGTTTTTCAGAGTGGCTGTGCCATTGCATATTCCCAATAATGCATGAATGAACCAGTTTTTCTGCATCTTCGCTAGTATTTGGTATTACCACTTTTTTAAAAAACCATTTTGATAGGTATGTAGTGATAGCAATACCTCATTTGTGTGTTTTTTCCTTTCCTCAATGGCTAATAATATTGAATATATTTTCATGTGCTTATGTGCCATGTGTATATCATTTTCAGGAAATGTCTGTTCGTGTCTTTTGGCAAACTTTGGAAAGTTCACACATCGCTATATCGATTCTCCGTCAAGGTTGGGTGGGACCTTGCTCACAAACTTCAGTTAGCTCTAATTCTTGACTGATTTCTTTAACTCTGAATCTGAAGGTACTTTCTATGGGGTGAAAGGCGGCTCTACATTTTTTTTTTTAAATCAAAAAACAGTGCCATCTCAGATGCAGGGAAGGGGCGCAGAATTGCAACCCCGAGTTCATTCACGATTTGCAGCCGGGTAAGTTAAGTGAGCTGCGGTATGTCCTCGCCTTGCGCTCGGAGACTGGAGGGAGGCAGTTACAGGCATGCAGACATTCAGGCTGGTGGGACGCAGGAAGCCAGCAAAGCCAGGAGCTCCAGCCTCCGGACCCGTAACAATGGCAGTGGTGCTCCCCAAAACAACCATCAGGATACCTAAGAGCGAAAGGGCTGGGATCCATCCCGCCTTACTTTTTAAATGCAGGACCTTCAGGCCCAAGTGCTTGCGGGGAAGGGGTTCCTCCGCCCAGATAGGGGTGGGCCTTTCCCTGCAGGGCGAACCGCCCCGCCCCGGCCCGCCCAGACGCTAGTCTCCAGGTGGGGGCGGGGTCGGGAACACTCCGCCCCCGTTGCCAGGCGACGGGGGAGGAGCCGGAAGGGGA